CATATTCCATCTCACTCACATATTCATTCACCTACTCAAAAATATTAACTGAGCAAGTGAAGGGTACTAAACTAGCACTTATTCACTACACTCTAATGTTAATGTGCTTCGACCAAACTAATAGTTCCTTGAAGTCAAAGATCGCTGCCATGCTAATACTTGCTGACTGATGCAACTAACAATATGAGTTCAGCCATCCATTAAATATAGACTGTTTATGGATTTAATTTTAAGAACAGAATATACTGACTCGAGAATTTGATTTAAATCAATAGCGTATACATTTCTTCCTTTTAGGAACTGTCAGGCAAATTATCTATTACGACATACAACAGTGCAGAGTTGAGACAATGACATCAACAAAGTTTCATCTATTAAAAGTTGGAAACCTAGAGATTGCAACTCCCTTCAGCTCTTGTAACTCAAGTCAAAGGAACAAGCAACGCTTGTTTACTGTGAACTCTCCCTACAGAGTTATGTCTAAATGAGCCTTAAAGAGCTGTTTAAAAATAACTAGGAGGGCCAGATTCCAGGAGAAAAATACACAGAACATATAGATGAATCTGTTTCCCTAAATTGGCTGTTTAGTTTGGGCTGTGCTATTTCCTGCTTAAATTGGCTTCCTGCAATTTATTAAGGCTGCCAAATACTTAGTGATCTCAGTGATGTACTTAATGCAAATCGGCAAATCTCTCTTATTTTTCACAATGACAAGAAATTTAGAGAAACTTGCACAGTGAGGATAATAATGCAAGTGAGTTCATTCGTCTTTTTTTCCAGATTCATCATTTCCATCAGGTTGCTAGTGGCTGACAAAACCAACAAATAGCCTCCTAATATCATTTCCTGCCTGGTTTTTTCTATTGATTTAGGGACAGAGTTTCCTCAGCATTAGATAGTATCAAACATGAGAGGTCTGACCTCACTATGAGGCAGAAAAACTAAAGGATCAGGGTGGAAAGGAAAAAATCAATATCCAGCATTGATTTTTAAAATCAAAAGATGCAAGATGTTAATGAAAAGGTAAGTTTATAACTATGTGCAATGGTATCCCCTTATGCAGCCTAAAAAACAAATTCCCTCGTGTAAAAGCAAACCAATAAAGTTGAGATAACACATAACACAGCAAAAATTTGAGGCAGGAAGGACACAGTTAAGTTCTTTAGAGCACAATCATTTATTAAAGTGGCATTACAATCTGCTGTGTGTCACACAGTATATTATTTTGCCTGAACAGCTTTACATGCAAATACTTATTGCAACGAGTCATTGATCTGTTTCAAGGTTTGGCAAAAAATAGTTTCAGTAAAGTCTTTAGAGAAACTCACTTTCTTACAGCATAAATTATATTCTCAAAACCATATATACGACAAAACTTAGTTCCTATACAGAATCCTAGGGCTCTGAGCCCATCAAATACGCTACCCTGTATTCCACATATGAATAGCCTAGGGCTAGTATGAAGTAGAGTCCTGTGAGGAAGAAAGCATTCTAGTAAGTGTTAAAAATTCAACTCACATTTAATATATAATTTACTTGACAATGAAAAATGTAGAAAAGGCTGGTGACATTTTTATCAATATATTTTTGTAGAGTTGAAAAATTATTTCATAACACACCTAAATTATAAATCTTAAGAAATCTATTATCGAAAACCTCCAAATAAGATAAGCACAGAAAAGAACATAAACTTTGAGAGTTCTACTTTTATAAACATATTTTTTAAATTTTAAGAATAAATCTTTGTTAATTTGCACAATCACAGTTTAATTGCATTCTTAAGCTAAAGGCAAGATCATTTCAAAACAGTATGTCAAGTTTTGGTTCTGTTCCAGGGTTGGGTTGGAATGAGGAAGGGAACTATTACACTCAAAGAGCCAGCGCTATTAGCCTTGTTGAGCCTTTTTCACATCATGGTGCAGACAGAAAAAGCAAGTATTTGTATGGCACAGGAGGGTACACAGGTGCTCCTCAGAGTCAAAGGAATCAATACGTCCAGTATACTAGTAACATACAGGTTAGCAAGCTGTGCTAAAGACTGAGGTGAAGATATCATACCTCAGGGAAATAGTCCCTGAAGTTTCCATTTACCCATAATCCTGGGGGAGCTGGAATGTGGAAAAGGCAGGAAACAAGATTCACAAACACGCAGAGCATTGAGATTAGCTCCATAACCTCAATCACCATAAATCACTCAATCATTAAAATCATCTGATGGAGTTCACAATGCCAAGCATAGGTTTATTCTAGACTAGAGTTATCCAACAGAACTTTCTGTGATGAAAATGTTCTAGATCTGTACTGTCCAATATGTAGCCTCTAGCCGCATGTGGTCCCTGAGCACTGAAATGTGACCAGTGCAACTAAGGAGCTGAAATTTTTATTATATTTCATCTTAATTAATTTTAATTTAAATCTTAATTGCCACATGTGACTAGCAGCTACCATTTAAAGAGTGTAGTTCTAGCCTGACCACCAAAACAAGTAGCATTCAAAGAGTTTTCAGTGCCCAGGCTGGTCATGGTCCAAAGAGTTCATCAATCACGTCAAACCTAGAAATGGGAAAGGATGGATCCCTCAGCACACCCAGAGCTTATCCCAATGTCAGTGCCATGTTCTGCAGGTCATACCGTGAGCATTTATAGAAAGCCTCCCCATCCACGCCCACTCTCTCAAGGTACCAGTTTAATAAACCAACCTAAGAAAGAAAATACTCTCTCCTTCAACTCACTACTGAATGAGAGCCAATATCGGAAAAGGCTAGAAGAACCAACAATCTCTTATAGATAGAAGGTTCTGTCCTAAACTCAGGCAGAACATCACTAAAAGGCAGCTCTTTCCCTCCAACCAGTTTCTGTCACATTGTTTCTACAAATGAAGCAAGGTGTCATTCAAATTATAATCAAAACAGAGTGATTAACAGCATTTGCTCTGGACCCAAAGGGACTTGAATTCAACTATCAGCTCCACTGCTTACCAGCTATGGGACTTCAGGCAAGATAATTAATCACTTCAAGTCTCAGGTTCCTCTCTGTAAAATGGATTAGTAACAGTACCTTCCTCATAGAGTTATAAGGATTAAATGAGATAAGACATATAAAGGATTCTGCAGAGTACCCGGCACATAATAAGCATTATTTAAGTGTTATTTATCACTATTTCATCACCTTCATCACCATCTTCCTATCTCCTTAACACAGTAGGTAGAAATCTACCTAGAACAAATCATATTTTAGATCAATTTCCAACTTTAAAAATATCAATATATCAAGAGAGGACGTTGCAAAAGCAGAAAAGGACCAGTCATGGTGTGCCCTGGAGGCCTGGGAAAGCACTTCAAATTATAGTCTATGTACCATGGAGATCCACCACTGGGATGCCACATGAACTGATTTAATTTTTTCAAAAAATTGCTGAGGCCTCCGTGTGCAGGGCAAAGCATAAGGGGACAAGAGTAGAAGTAGGGAGCCAGTAAAGAGGCTACTGCAGAAGACAAGGTAACAGATGTTAATTATCTGGAGTGGAGCTACAGCAGTGAAGATGAACGTGAAAGGAACATATTGAGACATGCTTTAGAGATGGAGTTGACAAGATCAGCTAATGGCCTAATGTAAGGAGTAAGGAAAAGCGGAAACAAGGATGAATTCTAGGTTTCAGGCTTGACTACCTGTGCCAATTACTTGAAGGATGGAGAGGAGAAGCAACTCTGGAGAAAAATAAAAGCATTTATTTTGGACATGTTAAGTTAAAGAACTCTAAGTGGAGATTTCAAGTAGGCAGTTGAGTTGTCTAAGTCTAGTTCCAGGGAGAGGTCAGGGCTAGACACAAAATTTTAGGAGTCACAGGCATCTACGTAATGATTCAAAAGGCATACAATTAGATGAGATTACTCAGTGGAAATCAGCAAGAAGACTAGACTGAGGATGCAAGTAAGGTGGGAGGAAAACCCAGAGTGTGGCCCAGAAGACAAAGAAAGGGTTTCCAGCAAGGAGGGAGTGGTCACTTTCTATCTAACAGTAATGAACTGTGAACTCTTCTTAACGCTTCCACCAAACAAGAAGTTTCCAAAGGACAAGAACTATTTCTTATTCATCTTGATACCTTTTGCTTGAAACATATTAGAAAGTCAATTCATAGTTACTGACTTGATTAGTAAGAGGGTCACAACTGCCCCCAAGTGAATGGCATTTGGGCAGCATCTCAGCTTTCTCAATGTGTGTCACAGTAGATAGCCAGATTTCCCACACAATACTCCTTTCTAATAAATACAGAAAATTCTCATTTAGTCCAAGATTAATCATGCTTACTATTTTCTCATTGCCTTTTCGCCAATAAACAGCACTCATCCATCAAACCAGGCAGGAACAAGAACAGTGCCAGACATATAGCAGGTGCTCAATAAATATTAGCTGGACAAATAGATGGATGGGGTAGGGGGACGGAAAGGAAAGAGAAATAGTCTTGTACCCAGCAGGATCCACAGATAAAATGAGGCTTAATAATTCCCTATGGATTTCACTTAACACCATAGTTTCATCAATAATTAAGACTGACTCTGAAGGAATAAACTGTTTATTAGAAACTTAGAATAAATCTATTAGAAAATAAAATCATTGGCGATACTTCACAATTTGGAAACAGTAAATCAATATTTTCTGAGCTCAATGTTCTTTTTCAAAATATTTACTCCTAAATTTCTAAAATTCCTATAAATAATCCATTTTACACAAAAGATACGAAGTAACTTTCCAAAGCCTATTAGAAAGTTCAGGAGCTGGATGACAAAAAAATTTTCCAAAGATTGTTTGAAAGTAGATTCATTCTACTTTTAGCGCAAAACATTTTAAAAGGAACCCTCTTACCGATTTCTAACATTCCGTATAAAAAGTCAAACATCCAAATAACAAAAGGCAGAAGTGCAGAAGAACTTGACTGTTGAGTGAACTTTTACTACTTATAACATCTCTACTAAAAACTCTAGAATTAAAATTCTAAAATACCTGAGGCACCATAAGCACCAGAATACCGCTGTGACTTCGAGGCAGATGGAGAGGTTTCCTTCATGCGATCAATCACATTTTCTGAAAGCTGAAAAAGCAACATCAAAATAAAATCAATTATAAAAGAACAAGAGAGAAAACTACAATAGCTTCCAAGTAATTTAGCCATCCATATCAATATGATAACGAATGGCCTAAAGAAATAAGGCTAAATCTAACAGCTATAAAACCCAAAGCAACTGAGAAGAGTTTTAAGTTTTCAGGATGCACCCCACAGCACTGCTTCTTCAGCTCTTCTAATGCACTGCTAATTGCTCATTATCAATAACTCTTCTCCTCATTTTATACTGTGCACTAAATTGTAATCTCTGAGAACATGTAAGCTCTCAGAACTCCTTCGCCTCTCCTCCCCAAATCCTACAAATTAATTTACATATGCAACAGGCCTTAGCTCCTTCCTTCCCTCCAGTCACAAAGGAAATGGGGTCCCTCCCTCCCTCCTGCTCAAGGCTAACCACAAACAATGGCTCTTTCAACAGGTTTTATTATGCACCAACTATGTGCCGGGAACTAGGCTAGACTCTGGGTATTCAACAGTCATCAAGTTGCTTAAAGTGGAGTCGAAGAAACAGACAATCATCAGGCACTAAAACATAACGTGAAAGGTGCTACTTAAGTCAGCCAGCCTGTAATGGAAGCACACAGAAAGCAAAATGGGCAGGACCTCTAGCCAGGTTTTAAGAGTGGGGCTGAGCAGGATGAATAGGAGTTAGGAAGAGAATGGGTAGGATAAGAATACTCCAAGAGGGAAAGACATGAAGGTACAGATAGAAACAGGGCTTCCACCAGTAGACGTCACATGGACATATCGGCAGGCAGCTGGCAGTAGGGCGGAGGCTCTGAGGAACACTCAGGCCTGGAGATTTGAGTCATCAGCCCCCAGTTACTATCATATCATCATTTTTTATTTCTTTATAGCGCTCACCACTATCTGATGCTTTCTTGTTTACTGTCTACCTTTCACACTAGAAAGAAAGCCCCATGAAAGCAAGGATTTGGCCGTCCTATTATTATATCCTCAAAGCCTCAAAAAGCCTGGCTAATTGAAAAAGCAGTTAAACGAATGAACGAAACAATATGAATAAATAAAAGAATGGATGAAGCAGGAAGCTGAGGAGGGGGCTCAGTGAAAGAGAAATGGAGAGGGAAATAAGATTTTAGATTTTGAAGACTCTTAATAAACCCTTCAAGTTAAGGAGTGTGAACCTGATCCTGAGGGCAACTGGGTACTACTGAAGGATTTTGGGCCGTGTAATGACACGATTAGATTTACATCTTACAACGGTCACTCTAGCTACAGTGTAGGGAACAGACTAGAAGGGAACAAGAACAGAAGAAGCAGGAGGACCCCTGAAGGAGGCTAAAGGACCAACCAAGAAGCTATTAAGCATATGTCCACACAAAGACTTGCCCAGGAATGTTCATAGCAGCATTACTCATAACAGAAAGCGTGGAAACAAACCAATGTCCACCTACTGGTGAATGGAGAAACAAAACGTTATACACCCATACAATGGAATACAATTCAGCAACAAAAAGAAAGGAAGTCCTGATATATGCCACAACCTGGACAGACCTAAAAAACATATAAGTGAAGGAAGCCAGGCACAAAAGGCCACATACCATATAATTCCATTTATGTGAAATGCCTACAAAAGGCAACTCTACATAGACAGAAAGTAGGTAAGTGGTTGCCTAAGGCTGGGATGAAATGGGGATTAACTATTAGTGAGCAAGAGAGATCAGTAAATTTATTAGATAAAGCAGGTGAATTTTATGGGATGTAAATTACACCACAATAAAATTGTTTAAAAAAACTATTATAGTAATCCAGGAGAACAAATTCAAAAGATATTTAGGATTCAAAATAGCTTTTGACTGAGTGCTATTATGGGCCAGGCACTACACTAAATTAAGTACTTTACTCATTTAATCCTTCACAATCCCACCCTACACTTTTATTATCTCCATTGTATAGGTGAGGAAACTGAAGCATAGCCAGATTAAGTAACCTGCCCTGGATTATACAGTTTATCAGTAATGGAGCCAGGATTCAAAACCAGGACGTCTGAGTCTCGAGGTCACACTCAGACACACCTCTTCACTGCCAGACTCTGTCTCACTAGAAGTGAAGTGGATGCCATCAAGAAGGATGCCCAGGTTCCAGGTCAAGTAACTGGGTGATCCCGCTCCTGTATCCTCAAGGACCGTCTTCCAATTTCCACTTCCCTAATTTACCACTATCTGGCTTGTAACCCAATACGGCAATGAAAAGTGTTCTGGTGAAAGTCACCAATGACCAAATAAATAAACCTTTATATTTATATAAATAAATATCTTTTATATTTATATTTATAAAGCACCTAATTGATATGGCTTTCCATTAGCTTTTAACAGTTTTGGTCACTCTCTTCTGGAAACCCTTCCATGGCTTTCTGGCATCCCACTGTCCTGGATGTCCTAGGACTCCAGCCACGTCTTATTTCTTTTGCAGGCTTCCCCTCTCCTACCTACCCGTAAAGGCTAAAGGGCCCCAAATTCTGTTCTTCGCCTTATTCTCTCCTCACTCTTTGTGCGCTCCTTGGTACCGTCATTCACTCCCTTGATTTTTAACTGCTGCTGATAAATTAATGAACTCTAAATCCACTATCTCCAGCCCAAGACCTATATCCCAAAGCCAGACCTAAACAATGAATTGCCTAATGGACACTTCTCCTTGGACAGACCACAAGCATCTCAAAGCTAACATGTTCCAAAATGAATTCATGTTTGCCAAAAATCTCTTCTTCTTGCTTTCCTTATCTCATTAATGACATCATTTTCATCCAGGTTCCTGAATCAGAACACAGGACAGTCCTCAACTCTTCTCTCTCCCTCATCCTCTTGGCCATGATATTTAAATATTTAATGAATTTATCTTCTTTCACCCCATTTTCCCTGCCCTAGTTCACGGCATCATCAATAACCCTCCTAAAATGCAAATCTGATACGGTAGCTCCCACTTCAAATCCTTCAACAGCCACCTTCTGTTGACCGGAAAGTCCAAATTCTTTTGCAAGTTATTCAGCACTTTCTCATCATTTGGTTATGGCCTCACTCTCCAACCTCAGCTTCCACAGCTTCCCCTTAATACTTCATACCAGTTCCCCAGTCCATTCCAACTCTGCCTACCCAAAGCTACCCTTCCTTGTGCCCCACAATATCTGCACAAATCTCCAATACAGCACTCCAATGATAGACCAAGAATTCACCTTTCCACCTTTCCATAAAATCGTGAGCTCCCATATATTGGTCAATCATTCATTCAACACGTTTACTAGGCCAAGCACACTAATTGAGGCCCTCGGGATAGATATATCAGCGAACAAAACAGTTTGTACCCGAAAAGTTACCTCTCAGGACCCAAACCAGAACACAGGTAAGACAGTAAAGGGAAAGAATACAGCTCAAAAGTTATGATCTTTGAAGGAAAAACCCGCGACTCTTTTCTTGGGAGAGAAGTGGAGATTAGAAAGCAGAGTGCCAAGGGACTTTCTATTTGAAGATGCCAGAGCCAGTTGCATCTTTTCTAACAACTGACAGCCACTGAGACTGTAGCTGAAACATCTGCAAAGCTGAGATACATTTTAGGAAAAACCCCTTAAGATTGACTCCAACCCTCTCATTTTACAGGTTAAAAAAAAAAAAGATCCTGAATAACATCCAGTTACTGGCAGCATCAGGACCACAAGCAGTAACCCCTAATCTCTAGCTCAGTGCTTTCTCTACTATTAAACAACACACTCTTTCAATTCCATGCAATAAAAAAAAGTATATCACTTCCTCTGAAGGAGATAAAATGAGCCTAAGTTTTAGAATCTTAAAGCTATTTTAATTGATATATAATGTATATAAAGTTCATTCAACATATAATGTAATATACTACATAATATATTTAACATACTATATTAATATAGTATGCTATAATATACTATGCATATTTTATATTATATACCATATATAATCATATATACTAGGTATTATATACTATTACATACAATATATACTATGTCACAGATCTAATATAATTGATGTTTAAATATATAAAGCTAATTTGACATATATAATTTTACATTTTAATATTATTTCCATATTTCAAGCCAAAGTCAAAGAACAACAACTACACTAAATATATATTCTACCTAATCAGAAAGTGAATGTGTCTGCTAAAAATCAAGTGTTAGCTATAAACTTTCACCTGTATTAGAGACAGGCCATCTTTACTTCTAAATACCACTTCATCTACTTCGCATCAAAATTCATACCTTGTCATTCTTTTTTGCCACTTTCAGAACGAATACTACAAAAAGTCCTTCCAATCCGTAAAGCAGCCTCAAAAGTATCATTCTTAGAGAGTAAAGTAAAAAGCTGGCCCAGAAGAGAAGAGAAAGCACTGACCACCTTCTAGCTACAAAACCCTGCAGACGTCAACTCAATGGGTCTTACTCTCCTCATCCGGAAACTGAAACCACCAGCAGCCCCCTGGAGTGACAGGACGGATCAGAGACAAGTCATAAACTATAACATGCCACACAAATATGTGGTAAAGTTATTTCCAACTCAGCTCCAGCCGTGGGGACTTCCACTGCGCCTGTCATCACGGTTGCCTCTCACCTACTCTGCCTGAGTGTGTACTGAGCTGCTTCTCCACACGGTGCACACAGACCAGGCCTACAGCTGTTCCAGGAGCGGCTGCCTAAGTCCTGGTATGAGCACATCCAGAGCTCCTCTATCCCTATCTGCGCCCCTTGAGTAGTAAAAGTGCTTTGTCTCTTTCAACCTAATTACTAATTGTTTCTTGTTAACTTTGTTTCTATTTTTCTGGCTTCTCTGATGCCTCAAAAATTGGTACTTAATGTCAATTTTTAACATTAATTAAAACATTTCCCAACAAGGTCTTCAGTCGTATTTCACTGAATTGATAAGCATGGTATCCAAAGGAGCACAATTCATTTTTTTGAGTTGACAAACATACGGTAGGGCTGCCTT